CAATGGTGTATACGAAGCTTTTCTGTTCCAATTTCTGAACTGTTATTCACTTTTGAACGACGGAAACTCTCCTTTCTGGACTCAACAAATTTCCTCGTTGAATGAAAGTGAGTGCATTGTAGGCACACCTAAAAGGTGGGAAACTTGGCTTGAAACTCACGCACCGCTGTTGCTTTTAATTGGACGTATCATTTTTCTCACACTTGAAAAAAAAATTGTTCTTGATTCTGGTTGGACTTATAATTCCTACGCTCAATGCCTAAGGTTAAAAAATAATTCTTGCATGTGCACTGCGATCGATCCTTGGAAGAGCAATGACACTCTTAGTACTAGTACAACTAGTACTATACATATCGTGGTTTGGATCGTATTTACGTCAAAGCTCCTGTGTAGCGTTCTTACAAAAGCGGCGAAGAAAATTGAAAACTTTAATTCGATTTGCAAACAATTTCGTCCATGACACATCGATTTGTACACTTGACGTTGAAAATTGAGCAGGGGCGTAGCCAGGATTTTTTCAAAGGTACGCACAATAGGCCATTTCCGAGTTCCCCCGGGCCTCTGTATCAAAACGAGGTTAAGTGCTCAGCCTTTGATGTGCTAATGATTTTTCATTCTCATGCAAGTAAAACTCATTTTCACAAGAAAGGCTCTGCACTTGGCACTCGGAAGTGTCTATTCTCCAAATGCTCCAAACAACGTCGCATAAGAAAATTTCATGTCGTGGTCGTGCAGAGACGGCCTTAAGAAACGTACCAACAAGCGTGCTGCACATGCAAAATTTGTTGTTTAACTTTTTAGACCTTTCTGCTCTTTGACGTTGTTCTCGTTGCCATCGCCGTTGTCGTTGCTAAGAGAGCATTCATAATTTATCTAGAGGGTGGGCTATGATGATTTCCTTATTTTTTCCTTTCATTTTTTTGAAGCCCCCCCTGATCATCTCAGGGTTTTTTTTCTGACCCCCCCCCCCTCAAGAGATGTTGATTTATCAAAGGAAAATATCATAGCCCCCCCCCTCCCCCAGCACATAACTACAACATGTCAAACTCACCCTTAGCCATATCAAAGTCTTGTGACAGGTACATTGAGCTTTGTTAGTAATTAACATAGTAAATCAGTAACAACTTGCACTAATGAAATGGTGATATCTCAAGATGTCAATTTATGAAAATATAATGTTCAGTACAATTAAATCTCTACGCATTTTTAATTCAAAATTGTTCTATATTGGACATTTGGACAGTTTCGGAACTTGACTTATATTTGAAAAATCACTCGTTACCTTGGAAAAAAAAGCTGAAAAAAGAAAAACTGGAACTGATTACCACTCATTTGAAAGAGACTAGGGCTGAGGCATTGAGAACCATGACTGTAACAGGGCAACGTCTTTTACAAGAGCCAGAAGCAGTCTCAGATGATGATGATGATGATGATGACGAAGGCAACAAGACTATCTTGGGGGAAACACGGAGTGAGGAGAGTGAGAGTGAGGAGAGCGAGAGTGAGGAGGGTGACGAGAGTGAGTTTGAGCCACTCGCAAAGAGACCTTGTAGCACAAGAAGTGGGCGTCATGCATCAAGTTTCATACTCTAGTTCTGTATCAATATTTTGTCGAAATGAAATAAAAGACAGGAATTATAAGAGCATCCAACAGCATATTTTCATTTCCTTTTCTTTTTCAGGAAAAAAATGGTTGGCCCCCCCTATGCTCGATGTAATTTTCGTTGGAAATTTTCCACAGCCCCCCCTAAATCATAGTAGGGAAAAAGAGTGACCCCCCCTCAAAATCATCATAGCCCACCCTCTAGGTAAATTATGAATGCTCCCTAAAGCCACCCCGGATATTTATCCATGTATGTAAACTGTTGGGAATCCGAATGCGTGTTTAGTAGAATGAATGCTTGCGAAATGATCCTCATACCCTGAATGAAATAAATCCGGAATCCTGAATCCAAAACATTTATGAATCCTCTAGTGTAACCGTAATGCCTACGCCAACAATCTAGCGGTATGTCAGACTTTTATTTGCAAATGAGCGATTCTTTTACCGCTATATTCCACATGTTTGTTGACCGACGAAGGCAAACCCTACGTTGATGTAATCGTGCCCTACTTCGTTTAGTGCGAAGACAGGGCGAAGAGAAAACAACGCGTTTACGCTTCATACCATCCAGCCTAGCTATTTGCGCCTCTCTAATTTCGCAGTTTCTCTAAATATATCATTGAAGTTTCGGTCCACCAATGAATCACGTCTCTTTTCTGGAAGCCGACATTCGGGTGTAAAAGGAAAAATTAAACATTCCGTTGTTACATGAATTGAGCCAACTTGTGAACGTAAAATAATTACATTTTACTTATCTCATCCTTTGCTTTTTTTTTTTCATTATTCACTTTCGTAATTCTTATTTTATTGTGTTTTGTTTTTTTCACCCTCGACTTTTTCAGGTGCGCACGTGCGTACCGTGCGTAAAGGTTGCTACCCCCTTGTTAAGTCCAGAAGGCAATATTTCAAGAGTACCAAAGGTTTTACTGAACTGAAAAACCTAAAATAACAGGGCGTAAATTGGACGCGTGTAATGATTTTCTCTTCTGCTAGTACTGTACACAAAATCGGTAGATGCCTTCAGGTGTACATGAAACTGTCAGCGGTAGTCAAGACAGCGCAAGAGTAATCAGTGTTCTTTTAGAGTTCAGATAAACCCGCTTGGGAATTGTGAAATATCGAAGCATTTTACAAGAAAACAAGTCCGGTGATCCCAATTTTCATTGCTTTAATGTTTTATTTCAGTTTATAGGAAACGTCAGAAAAATTTTGAAATTCTATGGAAGGAAATTTCCTTCCTTAAATGTCCTTTTTTCACTTTAATGAAAAATCCGTTTCGTAGAATTTTTTAAAACAACTCTGCATTTTCCTTTGGTAGTGCTAAAAGCAATCATCAGAAAAAGTATAGATGGTTTTCACAGTGACGTCATTAAATTTTAAAGTCAAAATTGCGAGATTTTACGAATTCCTATTTACACTAGGTTGAAGATAAACAAAAATTAGATCTTTTCACAAGTTTCCATTCCCGTAGCATGTTTCATTTCGAAAATACAGCAATTTGAACTCCTGAGTTTACCCAGTGCGTGACACCAAAATAGGAATGCTGTCTCGTTAAAAAAAGTCTCTCCTCTTGATTTTCAGCAGTATAACCATTTCAAGTATTAGAAGATATGTTTATGCGCATGTATGCTAGTTCTCGAGTGAAAAGAAAGAGCTTTTATAGAAAGAGTGACCTCCAGATGTTTTTGTTTATTTCCGGCGGCTATATTGGTGCACCAAAACTGTACACCAATATGGCGTCTCCATACAAAGCTCTACAAAGGTGCGTGAAAATTTGAGAGTCAGAGTATTTTAGCTTTGAAGGTCTAATTGAGGACCCTTTTATTACGTGTCCGTATGGAGGCGGGGCCGCCAGTTTTAGTGGTCATCCGTCTAGCCGTTTGTAAAGCAAAGGCGTTACCTTTTTCCTTATGTATTGTAAGGTGGCCCGAACCTATTTATATGCGCGTTGGTTGTTTTTGAATCGCGTTTCTCGGCAGGAATGGTTAAACCGATTTCCATGATTTTTGGAAGTGGAATGGTCGAATTTTAAGAAAATGTTATTTATTTTCTTGAACGTATAAAAATGTCTGAGACATCGGCATATGTTTCAAACCGCATTTTTACAAAAAATGTCAATAATTTCGAAACCCTAAGACAGATGTTTCTCTAACTTCGGCAAATAAGCCTCAGAACTCTCTAGTTTTATATCTGCAAGTTTGAAGGCAATCGTGACCGTAGAACTTGCTGCACAAATAGCTGGTCAAATTGAACCTTAAAATGCAACGCGAACACATTTGTGAAAGTTGACACGCAAATAGAGGAAAACTGCCGGCGGCCTATCTCCTATCTGCAAGGGTACTCTTGCCCAAAGCTTCAGTTGCAAGAAACTGAGTAATCAGTTCAAAAACATAACCAAAGCGCAAATAAATAGGTTCGGGCCACCTTAAGAACCTGAGTATTGTTCCCTGCCCAAGGAATGAACGCGCGTTCTCCCCCTCTGTAGTCATTCGCTCTTCCGACTGAGGTAGTCCTACAGCGGTTAAATTCGCCATTGGCATTCCATTCCGAGAAGTATGCAGGATGTTTCTTTGTTACATTGACATAATCATCATAATGCGCCTTGTTTACTCATCCCCCCCCCCCCAAAAAAAAAAGTTTGCATAAACATTGTCTTCGGGACGACTGTAATACCCAGTAGAAATTGGAAACAATGGTTATGCAAAATTTTGGAGGGTAAACAAGGTGCATTATGGTCCCTGTGAAAAAGGTGAATAAACCTACATTTATGGCCTGAGCTCTCACGAGACATCTCTAGCCCAGTGGTAGTGTATCTGGGCTAGTGAGAAGAAGGTCATAGGTTCGACTCCTACTCGGAGAATGGGCTTCGAACTGTCTGTGTTATACTTAAACTCTCTAGTGAAACACTATAGTAGGCCTTATCACGATTTTGGAAGCCATCTTGACGAGTAGGCAACCGCGTGAGAAACTACAGTGTTTGTATGAGAATCTAATGTCGAATAATTTCCGCAACACGGCTGTTCTGCAAAAAATATGAATTACAAACTAAAGCTTCAATCCTTCAAAATTTATTACTAAAATCCTTTGCTGTGTAGATTTAGGCGGTCGCCTATACTCGTCAAGATGGCTTGCAAAACCGTGATAAAAGTTAGTTTTCTTTATCATTCACTGTCGTAAAGCGCTGTTGGTTCGGTAGAGAAACAGCACTATATAAGAAGATGATGATGATGATGATGATGATGATGATTTTTATTATTATTTAATGACATTTTCAATTTTTTTTATGAGACTTTAATGTAATATGTTTCCCTTATTATGCTCCTCTCCCCGCAGGTTAAATAGTATAACAAAACTAAATAGATCTTGTATACATTTTCCTTTTCCAGATTTTTCACACCCGACCAATATTACAGAGAAGATCTGTCATCTCTACAGAACACGTGAAAAACGCCTCCTGCCCGTTCCTTGGTTGGAAGATTTTAGCTTTCATATGAATGATATTTTTACCAGATTAAAGATCGTGGGCAAAGAAAAAACCCAAGGAGGCCTTACTGACGATATAACCAATATGACTGCTATCTTTAAGGCGCACGCAGAATGCCAAAGGCCGCGAACAGTCTTGATCGAAGGAGATCCTGGTATGGGAAAAACTACGTATTGTCAAAAGCTGGCGTATGATTGGGCAACTAAGCAGGGCGATTGGGACTCTTCTTTTCCAGAGATTGAAGTGTTACTGTTTCTCAAATGTCACGAAATAAAATCTGATATTTGGGAAGCTATTGATGATCAACTTCTTCCCGAGGAAATGGACGATCAAGCTAAGAAACGCTTCTTTAAATTTATTCGTGAAAATCAGTCCAAGGTTCTTTTGGTTCTCGATGGACTAGACGAAGCGGATCCTAGAAACCGAAAAATGTTCTTCAATCTTGTTCAAGGTAAAGAACTCTCAGATTGTTTCATTGTTCTCACAGCTCGTCATGAGGCTGGCAGAGAAGTAAGGAGATACTGTGACACACTATGGGAGATTGTAGGATTTACAAAGGAAGATGCAAAAAGCCTCATTCAAAAATACTTCAAAAACATTCACAAAGAGGACTTAGCCAGGACACTTATAGAAATGGTATGCCCTTTGCCTCGGTCAGTTAATTCAGGAGTGACTAAAGACCTGGAAGGATTGACTAAAAATCCGTTGAACACTACTTTACTGTGTGTAATGTGGGAGGATTTTGAGGGCGTATTTCCAAAGAGCAGAACTCGATTGTACATTGAGATTGTTCTTTGTGTTTTAAGAAGATATGAACGAAAGCAAGGATTATCGAGCGAGAACGAAGACCTGTTGACCGTCTATAAAGAAGACTTATTATATCTCGGAGGAATGGCGTTACAGTCTCTTCGCAAAGGAGAATTTTATTTTGAAGAACATAAATCAGACCTTCGCCTCATTGCCTTGTCTAAGTTTGGGTTCCTTTCTCTTCAGGCTGCTAACAATAAGAGGGAAGTTCGTGTGCGTTACGCTTTTCTTCATAAGAGCTTTCAGGAGTTCTTTTCTGGTTTCTACCTTGCTTGCAAACTTGTTGAGGGAAATATTGATTGCGAATCAGTAGTGACTGACCGTAGGTATTATTATGAACTGAAACAAGTCTTCTTGTTTTTTATTGAAATCTTAGCCTCAAAGAGTGAGGAAACGTCAGAGTCTCTTGTCAAAAGCATGGCTTTAAATATCAATTCAATTCAATTGAATTCAATATCAAGTCTTAAGTCCGCTACAGACGTTTCAAATCGTGTTTTATTTGCATTAAGTTGTTTGTCGGAGTACCCAAGTTTACTTCGCACCTTAGGGAAGCACCTCAACTTCACTTATTTGTATTTGAGTGATGGCGTGCTGAATGAAGAATATGATTGTGATGATGGTGATGGTGATGATGATGATGGCTTTGTTTTGTTCTCTTTAAGGTTTAAGTCCTCTCCGCTTGGTAATTCTGATGCCGCGTCTGTTTCTCAGGTTCTTAAAGCCAACTCCTCCTTAACTAGTTTGGATTTGAGTGGGAACGCCATTCGCCAATCTGGAGCTTCTTGTCTTTCCGACGCTCTTATAGCCAACTCCTCCCTAACTAGTTTGTGTTTGAGTGGAAATGAAATTGGCGATGATGGAGCTTCTTGTCTTTCCCAGGCTCTTATTGTTAACTCCTCTTTAACTACTTTGGATTTGAGTAGGTGCAGCATTAGCCAATCTGGTGCTTCTTGCCTTTCCCATGCTCTTGAAGCCAACTCCTCTCTAAGATGTTTTGATTTGAGTCAGAACAGTATTGGTGAAGATGGGGCTGCATGTCTTACCAGGGCTCTTAAGGCCAACTGCTGCTTAACTAACGTGGATTTGAGTGAAAACGGTATCAGCGAATCTGGAGCTTCTTTTTTTTCCCAGGTTCTCTTAGGCAATTCTTCCTTAACTAGATTGTGTTTGAGAAGAAACGGAGTTGGCGTTGATGCAGCGTCCTGTCTTTCCAAGGCTCTTGCAGCCAACTCCTCCTTAACTAGTTTTGATTTGAGTTGGAACAGTATTGGCGAAGATGGGGCTGCATGTCTTTTCCAGGCTCTTGCAGCCACCTCCTCCTTAAGTTATTTGGGTTTGGGTGGAAACATAATTGGTGATAGTGGGGCTGTTTGTCTTTCCCAGGCTCTTAAAGCAACCTCCTCCTTAACTAATTTGGATTTGTGTGGAAACAGAATTGGCGATGATGGTGCTGCGTCTCTTTCTGAGGCTCTTAAAGTCAACTTTTTCTTAACAAACTTGGATTTGGGTTGGAACAGTATCGGCGAAGATGGGGCTGCATGTCTTTCCCAGGCTCTTTCAGTCAACTCTTCCTTAACTTATTTGGATTTGAGTTGTAACAGTATTGGCGATGGTGGGGCTGTTTGTCTTTCCCAGGCTCTTGCAGAAAACTCCTCCTTAAGTAACTTGAATTTGAGTGGAAACGGAATTGGCGATGATGGTGCTGCGTCTCTTTTCCAGGCTCTTACAGCCAACTCCTCCTTAACTAATCTGAATTTGAGTTCGAACTTTATCTGCGAATCCGTAACTTCTTGTCTTGTCCAGGCTTTCTCAGCCATCTCCTTCTTAACTAGTTTGGATTTGAGTGTGAACAGAATTGGTGACGATGGTGCTGTTTGGCTTTCCAAGGCTCTTGTAGCCAATTCCTCCTTAACTTATTTGAATTTGCGTTTGAATCCCATTGGTGTCTCTGGTCTTGCTGCGCTAATTAAGACGAAAAAGCTTAATAAAACGGTGAAAGTAAAGATATAGACGATGATAATATTGATGGTGATTTTTCTGTTTTGGCTTGAGCATGATGATGTATACAGCTATTTTGAGAAAGGTTGTCGGAAGAAATGTGCACGCGACAATCCCGAATCAATTCACTGTTCCTGACAATTGAGCTGTCGCACTTACTTTTGTTGCTTTCCTTTAGCAATCACAAACATAAGTCTGTGGACTCTCGTGCCATTCTTGCAAATTTCTTTGAAGAACAGTGAACCCAAAACCACCCACAATACCTGTCGCGTGCACTTTTTCCGACAACCTTTCTCGAAATAGCTGTATATACTGCCTTGATGATGATGGATGATGATGATTATGATGAACACGTTGATGATGAGAAGGAGGAAGAAAGTAAAAGCAAGTTACTGTAATGAGTCCAAAATTATCTTAAACACGCGTTAAATGTTTAGTGCAGATCAATGCTTGGATAACAGATTTAAAAGTGGAGAAAACTTCCCGAGTTGAACGCTGCGTCTTTTGAGAACTGTTTCTTAATCTCCATGTTTCACCTTTTTCCTACATGTAGGTCAACCGTTTTTGTTTCCTTTGTATTTACATACACTTTCAGTGTCTAGTAAAGAGAATATAGGTTATCTAAGGTCTATCAACTAGTCCTTATTCCATCTAAAATAGAAAGCAATCCATAGGAAATATTCCTCGCGTTTGCTGCTTTTAAACTAGCCTATTTCAAGCTCCAAGATAGTATGTGTAGTGATCGTGAGAATTTTATGAGTTTTGTACGATTTACTTTTATAGTTCGTATTAAATGTTCTGGCCCCGTTTGTTCGACAACTGGATAGCGTTATCCACTGGATAAAGATATATCCAGTGGATAGTACTTTCCATCTTTTGAACAACCAGTGCTTCATACTGCATCTATATTATAGTAAAAGGGACTTTAATTCACCCATGAAACAGTATCTAACAGTAAATCCCAAATAATAACAAGTAAACTAAAAACAGCAATGAAATTAGAGAGTGGAGCTGCGTTCTAGCTAGTCTACCATCTATGTTACTGGTTAAGTAAAAATAACTACAAATCACTCTGCTTACTCTACTGCACTATATAACGGCGTTGATTAGTTATTGTATAAAATTGCTGTTAATAATGTTTGAGTGTTATTAAAATGATTAGAATCGTTGTGTTTTTATTTGTTGTTGTCTGGTTTTTCCTTTCTCTAAATCCCGTGTCCTTTGCGGTGACAAAAAGACTACTATCATCAAATACCCCAGGGTATTATTTCATTTTACGGTCCCTACGTTCGGCAACGTGCGCTACGTTTCGCTCGTGTGTTTGATTTTACTCTCCTACAAGTTGACACTTGGTATTCTAATTAAATTGATTGTCATGTTTTAGTTACCAGATCATGCCAGAAAGCAGAGCATAAAAATTTGAAGGTAATGGTTACCCAGTCTCCCGATTCAGAGGCTCGTGTTAAAAGTAAATAGATCAATAAAAATTCAAACTATTCCTAAGGGCCTGTTTACATGGAGGTGGGGGACCCCAGGTAGGTGAGGTAACCCGCTTTGGTGGGGTCACCCGCTTGTCCATATGATCTCTCATTTTAATTTGATCACGTCTACAGGATAGGTGGGGTGACCCGCCAAGGCGGGTATCCCGGTCTGCCAGACCGGGTAACCCTCTCAGCCGGGGTCAAATTTTGCCATGTAAACGTGCAAGGTGGTGTAACCCGCCTGGCCGGGGTCGGATTCGTGATACATCAAATTCGCGCAAAATTCACTTTGGTGGTGGCTTTGCATCATTATTAAAGGAAACAATAGAAAGCCACAGCACTGAATGTTGCTGCAAGAGCAACAAGTGAGTGTTGAAGAGCATTAATCGCCAAAACACGTGGTTTGCCAGCATATTTCTTGTTTACGTGCTTAGCGACCATTCAATAATCTTGAGAAAGTGCACCCCAGGATGGCGGGTTGTAAGATTGCATGTAAAGGAGGGTTATTGTTTTACCCCACCTAAGGGGGTTACCTCACCTACCTGGGGTCCCCCACCTCCATGGAAACAGGCCCTAACTGTGTTTTAAATACTGAAAAATGTACAGAATGCAATTAATTAAGAAGAT